AATTATTTCATTGATCCATTAGATAATTTTATAGGCTTACTCGCCCTATTTATTTTCATAATTAAGTCAGTCACGAAAAATTCTGCATGCCATCTCATTTGAGACCCTAGAGGCGCTTGACCTTATTTTTGTGTTATATTGTATATTTCAAGCATAAGAAAGCTTCATATTGAATAAGAGATACTAGATTTTCCAAATTATGTATTGCATAAACTCTAGCTAATTCATATAAAATCAAACGCAAGCCATGTATTCACAAAATGACTGCATTAAAAAGTTTGTTCAAAATCTCATATACCTTGAGAATGAACCTAAATTCTAATACATTAAAGCTTCTTATCAGAGATATTATCTCACTATGAGCTAATATACCTAGATATTTCAATTATTTACAAAAATATATCAGGTTTACATTTTAAGGAGCTAATAAATCAAAAGATCGAATGCATTTATTTCAAAAATTGAGTGTGCCGTTTTAAATACCCCTAATCTCAACATAGGGTGATATTGCATAATTAATTTATATATTTATGTATATATATATATATATATATTTATATGCATATATATGCTATTAAGTTCATTGAACCTTAATGACTATAACTAAGGCATGCAAGTTACATATTAATAGCAATTAACTATTAATTTATTTTACTAATTTACTTGCTACGCCTCCAGGAACCAGTTTAAGAGACTTATAAAAAGCATTCGTAAGTAGCAGATACTCACAGTTTCTATGGGCAAAAGATTACAATATGATCCTAATACTTTGCTTCAAAGGGGATGTGAGAAAACGATTGTGAAACTTTTCTAATTTTTTACTTTAACTAAAACGTATATTCATAAGATATGACTAAAATAAGGACCTCGATGTGTGATAATGAATATCTACTGCGTTTATCACCATTACAAGCTTTTAAACCTTATTAATCATTTACAATATTGAAGGCCCATGTTATTGCTAGGTAATAACAATTCTTGTTAGACCGGAACTTTGGAAGATGTGCTTGCCTAATGCCATGAATAACGGTATCAAGAAGGTTTCAGACCAAATAAACAAATTCTTTAGTCGTAACCTCATGAGTTTAGCTAAACTATGTTGAATTAATTAAGGAATAGACTTTAATCGTCCCTATTCCAGTTGTTATAGTAACGATATACTAGAATAAATAGGGCAAAATAATCACCACTCATAAATATGATTAAGGAGTTTTTGATTCTTTCAAACTATCATTAAATTGAAGACACTTATGTCACATGTAAGATGTTTTTAGTATTTTGATGAATATGAATATCTGAATAACATATGAGAGTCATTGTCCATACATTTGCAGAGTACATAAAAATGAATAGCGAAATATGATTGAATAAACCAACCCAAGGGTGTTATCTATCAGCCTTTTCCTATACACGAATGGCTTATCTCATTGGCCGACCCATCAGCCAATCTTAAATCTTACTTGACTGTTTTGGGGATATTAAATCAGTATTAGTTAATTAAAGCTCTATTAAGCGCTATGGTGGTGATTCTAATTGATTTACTAGAAATCCTAATCCGAATTAATATATATGGCCACTTAATATAAACGCATATTTCATAAAGGAAATAATATAACAACTGTTCACTTGAGAAGCAGACCTATTAATGTATTCAAGTTTGGCTGATTCATATTATTAGCATTTTTCTTACATTGTGCATTCCATAATGTTTCGAGATAGAAGGACCAGCAACAATAGCGCCAGTGGAACTGGCATTTCTACTCCGCGAAGAATGTCAGTTTTACCTTCAGAATCAGCACCTATGCTCCGTCGAAGCACTCTTCATCAAACCTCAATACCCAGACAAGTATTTGGAACTTCGAGTTCATCCTTATCTAGCCAAAATCCAGCTGAAAATGTCTCAGTTCAGCATCCGATTAAAACTGTTGCGATCTCTCAGCAGGCTCATCAGTCATCCCAATTGACTCCAGCTTCAGCGGAGTCAGCCTTTCGTAAAATGTCATTATTCTTTAGTGTTGATTCATCACGAACTAGAGAGCTGATTTCCAAGGCTCTAGAGGACCCTAGCAGAGCAGATTACCATAGATTGGCAGAGAACAATGAGCAGCTCTACGCAGAATGGAAAC